CTGGTCTGAAACTTACTTTTTATTTCTCTTTAGTGTCTTTCAAAAGGGAAAACTTTTAAAATTTTAATGAAATAAGATTTATTATTTAGTATATATTTAAGAACTCTATGACTAACTCAAAGTTAAGATTTTTTCCTATGTTTTCCTCAAGAATTTGTATAGTTTTGTTTTACACATAAGCCTGTGATTGATTTTGAAGTCTGAGGAAGTTTTTACATATAGACATCCAACTCTCCTAACACCATTTGTTCAAAACACAATATTTTCCCCCACTTAATTTCCTTTCCACTTTTGTCAAAAATCAATTGTCATATATAGGTGGATCTATTTCTGGGCTCTATTACCTTACTTTGATCTACATGTCTCTATTCTTACCAACACAACCCTCTCTTAGTTATGATATCTTTATGATGAGTGTTAAAGTAAGTATTGGCTTATCTACTACTTTGAATTGGCTATTAGAATTTAAAATTTTTTTTAATTTTTAAAATTACAGTTGATGTATTGGGTTGGCCAAAAAATCTGTTTTTTACTATAAAATAAAAGACATTTTTCATTTTCACCAATAACTATTGATTTGGATATTTTGAGTATGTCGGCTATCCCCTGTACAGTATAACATTGATTGCTCTCAACTTCACCTGGTCTACCTGACCATGGAGCATCATCCAGTGAGAAATCTCCAGCATGAAACTTCACAAACCACTTTTGACATGTTCAATCAGTCACAGCACCTTCTCCATACACTACAAATCTATTTTGCGTGTTTCCGTTGTGTTTTTGTGATTCTGAGATGATAAAGCATCACATGCCAAAAATGTTGCATGTTTTCTTCCATCTTCAATATTAAAATGGCCACACAAAAAATGCACTAATTTTGATGTTTTTTAATGCATGCTGATATGACAGCTTCACAATACAATCTAACAAAATTGTCTGAATGAAGTTAAAGACAACTAAGAGCTACTAGAGCCATCCATCTTATGGAGAAAACTAAATGGACTTTTTGGCCAACCCAATGTTATACAATATTATATTAGTTTCAGATATACAACATAGTGATTAGATGTTTTTATAACTTTCATTGTGATCATGGGTAAGTCTAGTTCTCATCTGAAACCACACAAGTATTTAAAGTATTACTGACTATATTCCTGATGCTATACTTTACATCCCTGTGACTGTTTTTATAATTGCCAATTTATACTTTATACTTTAATTCCTTCACCTATCCTTCCAACAACCCCTACCCATCTGGGAACCATCAATTTGTTCTCTGTTTCTATGAGTTTATTTTATTTCTTGGATTCCACATATAAGTTAACTCATATGGTATTTGTTTTTCTCTGATTGATTGACTCCACTTATTTGTCTATGTCCCTCCACACTGTTGCAAATGACAAGATTTCCTTTTTTATAGCTGAGTAATCTTCCAAATCTTCTTTATTTATTCATCTATCAATGGACACTTAGGTTGCTTCCATATCTTGACTATTGCAAATATGTGCATCCCTATGTTCACTGCAGCATTATCTTTTTGAATTAGTATTTTGGATTTGTTTAGATAAATCCCCAGAGGGGAACTGCTAAGTCACATGATAGTTCCTAGGTCATCTGATAGTTCCATTTTCTATAATAGCTGTATCAGTTTACAGTCCTGCTGAGAGTACACATCCTCACAAGCACTTCTCTCTTGATGGCGGCCATTCTGACAGGTATCAGGTGACATTTCATCATGGTTTTAATTTGCATTTGCCTGATGATTAGTGAGGTTGAGCATCTTTTCACATGTTGTTGGTCATCTGTATGTCCTCTTCCTCTTCGGAGAAGAGTCTGTTAAGGTCCTCTGCCATTTTTTAATTGGATTGTTTGTTTTTTTGTTTTTAGGTTGTGCAAGTTCCTTACTTACTTTGGATGTTTACCCATTATCAGATGTAACATTGGTGAATGTCTTCTCTCATTCAGATTTTCTTTGTTAATTTTTTTCCTTCAGCACGAGAAACGTTTTAGTTTGGTGTAGTTCCAGCCTTTTATTTTTTCTTGCCCAAGGACACAAAGCATAAGAGATATTTCTGGAAGAAAGGTCAACACATTTACTGCCTATGTTTTCTTCTAGGAGTTTTATTGTTTGGGGTCTTACATTTAAGTTTTTTATTGATTTTGAGTTTATTCTTGTATATGTTGCAAGAAAATGATCCAGTTTCATTCTTGTGCATGTATCTGGCCAGTTTTCCCAATACCATTTATTAAGAGAGTGTGTTTATCCCATTGTATATTCTTGCCTCTTTTGTTATAGATTAAACAAACATATAGGTGTGAGTTCATTTTTGGACATTTTATTATGTTCCATTGATCGGTGTGTCTGTTTTTATGCCAGTACCATGCTGTTTTGATTACTGTATTCTTGGAGGATAGTTTGATATCAGGTAGTTGGAGGTGTGATATCTCCAACTTTTTCTGTTTCAAGATTGTTGTGGCTATTCAGGGTCCTTTGTAGTTTCATATAAATTTTAGGTTTATTCTTATTCTGTGAAAAACACCATTGGTATTTTGATAGAGACTGCATTGAGTCTGTAGATTGCTTTCGGTAGGATGGACATTTTAACAATGTTAAGAATTTTAATTCTTATAGTAGCCTCTTCTAAAAAGCATCAAGAGTAGATGAGGAGGTAAACTTCATACTATTTTTTAAGCAGCTCCTATGTCAAACTAATTTTTCAAGGTGAAGATTAGGTTTATGGAGGTTTACATTTTAATCTTAAATGGAGTATTTGGAATGGAAGTAATTACTTAATGCATTTATTCAATCACTTATTAAGTCTCATAGGAGTGTACCAGTAACTTCATGGCACCTGCAATTCTCTATATTGTATTACATTTATTTACACACATATGCGGTTTTACTGAAATATAATTGTTATGACATTATGACTTTGAAGAGCTATTTATACTTTGAAATTTTCAAATATACAATAGAGTATTGTTAACTACAGTCATCAACTACAGTCATCATCCTGAACATGACATCCCCAGAATTTATTTATCTTATAACTGTAAGTTTGTCTCTTTACCACCCTTGCCCATTTCTCCCACCCTGCCCCTGGCAACAACCAATCTGTGTCCACTATCAGATTCACAGTGAGACTTGTCTCTGCTCCCACAGACTTGGCACCATGTCTGCCATTCAGATAATTCTGAATTAGTGAAAGGTATTTTTATCTCTAGCAAAATCACTCCAAATTTTAGATGTCTTCACCATTTCTTTGAGATTGTATTATATTGCTTTTTAACAAGGGCCTAAGTAAATTTCATGAAAATTAGCCTAGAGAAGTGGAAAGACAGCTATTTCTAGACCCAACTGATTGTATTACTGATGACCTCAGTCTCTCAGTAGCTACTTGGCTTTTTCCCTTGTACTTCCAGTGTATATATACTTGAATGCTTCCAAGCAATCTTGAGCCTTGAGCAGGGGGTAAACAATAAATAGAAAATTTGGTTTTGAAAATACCGCATGGCCCAACTGGGACATTCAGTAAATGGCTGGTGATAGGAAACCCACATCACAGAATATATTTCCATTTTTAAGAAATATTATTTGGTGAGAATTCTATTTATTAGTTAACATCAGATGAAAGTATACAGTGCAAAACCTGTCTCACTTAACTAAGTATCAAATAATAGAATGTATCCTCAGTTTCAGTTTTTCTCAGTCAAGTATTTACCAACATAAAATATCAATGTGTCTGGTGCTACTGTCACTCATTATGGAGTATGAATGGTTTAGGTGTGTATGAATATATTTTTCTAATGCTGTACTCAATTCATTTATTCAGAAACACTGAGTTTCTGAACCTAGTTCCCCTTCTGGGCTCTATGAATACAGCAATAAAGCAATCATACAGGTCAGGAACTAAATTTCGTAACCATACAATATATGTAGTAAGACATTTTCTTTGGAATTTATCTAAAACAAATTATCTGTTATGAGGAAAATTCCCATTATTGTTATATTAAAATGTATTTGAATCTCTATTTTGGTTTTAAATAAGTATGTCAAATTGCTCAGAAATCTAAATTGATAAACTAAATATGTAATTGTTTTAGCTACAGTAATCATTTGTATTATAAATATATTTAAAATATATTTACCCTTTGCTTTCCTGACTAGGTAATATCTTCGTTTACATAATATGACCCTTAGTGTTTTATCAGTCTTGCTCAAGAATCATTGAGTCTTAGCCATGGGGTATATAATGTGACCAAAGAATGCCTTACCTTTTCAATGTTTAATTTTATATAGCAAGATCATGTACATGTGACACAAAATTTACCCATTTTATTCGTGCATTTTCTTAGTTAAGATATTTAAAGTTTAATAAAGACAGTCTGAAATATTTTGACTTAAATGGCTGTGTCTTAAAAAGAATTAGACCATAAAGCCACTAGGGGGCTCACACACCATGCACGTAAATCACAGGGCATCACCTCCACACACACTCCACACACAATGGTAGGTTAGGAACTAATATTCTTAACACAAGAGCCACAGTAACAGAAAATTCTAGACATTTCATTAAACAAGTGTAACTTATCAGGGAAGTTAGCAACGAGGGTCAAAAACTGAAACTGGAGAAAGGTCAAAGACTGGTCTCTAGCCCTGGAAACAGCCCTTCTGTGAGCGCCTGCCTGCTGTGAGAACAGGGCCTCGCTGTCATGTCTGAGTCCTCAGGTTGTACCGAATTAATGTTACACACTGATTATGTGGCATTAATTCTCTCGTCTGAGAAGACTTATTCATAATCAACGTGAAAACTTTCTTTTAGCTGGTTCATTTTCTTTAGAGCAAGGTACATCAATATTCTCTCATTTTATAACAGAAGACCCTTAAAAAAACATTGAGCCCTTTCTTATGTAATTCACATTCAGATGTTTCCAGCTGGAGCACATTCTTATGTGTTTTATAAATCCACCTATTTTTATTTGTCTCTCTTCCTATCCAGGGACAATTCAGCATTAACCTGGCTGGCACGGGGATGAAGATATCCAGCACAGCCAGGTGGCTTGCTCAGGGGAGCTACGCCTCGGTCATCATACACAGATCCCAGGTAAGTCCGGTTGGACCAAAACCCGTTTGAAATACTTCTGTGAACCAGCCTGAAAGGTCCTCTACCTTACATTTAGTTATCAGGTTAGTGACTAACGAGTTATTGCATAGAATGAGGTATAGCATTAATTTATGAAATTTTGGGCATGAGTTTTTATTTATGTGCAGATGATGGTTTAAAACACATACAAATTCTTCCACAGGCTATAGGTATCTAAATATGAAATATCAAGTGCCAGGGCATTTCAATTTTATCTCGCTCAAGTTTGGGGCTAATGACTGGAAGTGCAGGTACTTCAGAAAGAGGTAGTGCTTTGAGCTTTACTTTAGGTATTAGAGATTTGTAGGTTTTAATATTTCAGAGTGAGGTAAAATTTGGTTCATTTACCTCACTGCTTTGATTTACTGATGGGATCATGGCAACACAAATGACAAAGTTTTTTTTACAGTTAGTTTCTTTAATAATTAGAACTATTTACAGCTTCATATATATTTTTCTGTATCTGGAAAACAGTGTTATTTGGTTTTGCCTTTTACACATCCAGGGTGGGGCAAAAGCAGGTTTGTAGTTTTTCTAATGGAAAACACAGGAATAAACTTTTGTGTACTCACAAGCATAAAATCTACTTTTACCTCACCTTGTATATTATGTATAACAGAATCTTTTTAGTTTTACTGCTTGTGTGGCTTGGTAACGCATACATTTTAGGAGATGACTCATTATTTAGAGTAACCGTGTCTTAGCATGACTCTCTATATATTATAAAAAATCAGAATCTGTTGTAACTGTTCTCATCTGTACATAAACCAACACCATCAATAACATCTGCCCACTGTTTTATGGTTGCTTTTTTTTATAAGAATGACTTCTGCTATGCTCATATTTGTATGAATATAAATAAAATTCCATTTTCTGATGTCATAGTGTTTAAAGCATTGTATTTCTGAAGATGAACTATTAAAACAATTTCATAAAAAATTAATTTTCATTCTGTATATGGGTAAGCACTAGGCTTTTAAAACAAAGGACCCTTTATTTTTAAATATTTATTTGACATATTTAGGTCCAATCCATTTTGGTAGAAAAAGGGAAATAAATTACTTACTTCTCTGAGCAGGTATAAATGCAGAGAGCTCAGTGAAATATTCTGACCTTATTTACCCAGCTTTTAGATAGCTTTTGGTTAAATGTGAAGACTGAACTCTGACTAAAGTCACCAGTAGATATGAATATCTCATACAGTCATTCCTTTGATTTAAGTCCTACTTTAAAGATGAATTATTTCGTTAGCAGAGAAGTTCTACCTTAATCAAATTTTGGTGTTGTTTTGGGGGGGGCCCCCCAGGGGGGTGGGAACCATAATTTTTAATGTTGTATATGAAAATCTTTCCTGAAGTTTGATGGCTGGTAAAAAAACAAACACAAATATACTCCTGGAAAGGCGAATGTATTTTCATTTGCCAGTAAATTTAATCAATGTTATTTTTTTTTAAGTTAAACAATCTGGGGTAGGAATGTATGTAAATTAGAAGTTTTACTGACATTCCCTTCTTTCCTGCTTACTCAGATTTTTGAGAGTTAAAAAACAAACTTCTAAAGGAAAAGTCAACTTCAAAAGCCCCTAACATCAAAACATTGGTCCTCAAATGTTCCAGGAACTCTTCCTCTTCAGGTTAAAAGAAAAACCACAAGAACAACAGAATAAACTTTCCAAAAACTAAAAGAGTTCAAACTGCTTTTGCCTTGTCCTATCAAAATGTTTTCAGTCTTCTGACTTTTGGACCTAAAGTTGGAAAGTAATCTGGAAGGGACGCCTTGCCTGACTGGTCCCTTTGCCCACGTCTGACCATCCGTTCCTGGGTGCATGTGCTCTGCTTTTTGAAAAGAAAAAAAAATCCTTTTTAGTTTTCTTCTAATTATATAATTACTGCTTTCAGTCCAACCTTTGCCCTTCCATACATCTCTTCAAGCTGTGTTTCTAATACTCCAGTGCGATGTTTGAGGTTAATGGGGTGGAATATGACTTGCATACAGTTAAAATCAAGTTTGTATAATATCTCTCTTTAGTTGATGAACATCTTAAATAGATACCTGGATGAAAAATGTGGACTGAAATGAACTGTCTAAATTATGGTATGGTTTATATCAAGAAGCTAATATGAATCTTAGGTATTCTAATTACCATAACCATAAATTTCAACCAATACTGACATGGTATGATCTCTGATCTCGAATGTAATTATTATAGGAGATTCTGGCTAACAATTTCAGCCACGTGATTCAAAGCATTTGCTCTTTCTGCCTTGCGCCTGCAGATACCGGCCTGTCTCAGATTCTCCTATGTTTCTGCCTCTTCCTCTTTCCAGGATGGAACCAAAGTCTATGGCAGATGTGGGGGTTTTTGTGGAAAGTGTGTTCCTCACCTGACTACAGGCCTCCCGATTCAAGTAATATGAACAGTCAGCAGTGAGGACACTGTGTCCCAGAGAGGAACCTGCAAACAACCGGTGCTTATTTCTTCACTTTCCTTCCTGAGATGTCTAAGTCCAAAATGTCTGTGCTTTTTTTTTCCAAGGGCTCAACAGGGAGTCAAATCCCTGCTTGATTTTTTTCAGGGCCTTCAAAATAAACTTAACAGGTGTATGACTGTAATCAAGATCTGCTTTTCTTAAAGGATATAACTTATGGCAGAATATTCAGGTATGTTTGAATGAATTATACCAAGATAATGTTGCAGTTAATAGCTTGAACTGGACCAGAGTTATTCCTATAAACACACCAGTAAATCTCTACTCAGTATCCTATTTTACAATGAAATGTTTATTCTACTTGTTAAAACAGAGCAATTAAAAATGAGGAAAATGCACTTATTTACAACTACCACAAACATTATTTAATGTCAGGTGAATAGAAAATACAGTACTTTGAAAAAAAAGCACATAGCCATTATACTTACTGATACAGTATAGATGCCTTGTTTTATATTTCCTTTTATTTTTAATTGTGAATTATGGTGCTTCAAATTTAAAAGTTCTAAAAATGTGGTATATAATTTTGTATTAAAAATGTGTGCTTGGGTTAAATACTAAAATAAGAACTTTTGTGGGTATAATACAGAAGATATAACATAGTAGATTTTGACTTAAAACACCTACCTCTAATTGTACTTATAAGAGCAATATGTTGTTTTATAACTCTTACATATGTATATATCTACTCCTAAAAATCTATTTTCTCAAAGGTTTGTACTGTATTTAAATCAAATAGAGAAGTGAGAATTATTGAAGTTTTAAAGTTTTAATAAACAAAATTATTTTTACATGTGCAAAATTTTTATTACAGATGCTCACGTTATTTTATATCCTAGGTTTCTCGAAGCCAGGACCTAAGAGGTAGTAAAGTAAACTATTCACGAACAAATTCTCAGGTATTGAGGTTTTTTTTTTTCAGGTGAATAATTATTTGTCTTTAATTTAGTACCACATTCTATAATACATATTATTTTTCTGTGGAAACCTACTCTGTAAACCAAAATTCAATCTATTAATAGAGTATACCAGTAAATAATAGTATATTCATTTTACCCACAAAGTTTTTTTCCCAAACCTTTATTAGGGGTATATTGTACCATATAGGGTACTAAAGCAATTTTGTGCCAATGTGGTGAAACATTAGGGATCTCTGTATCAGAAATGAAGTATTTTGCACTATGTGCCTTAAATCATTTCTAAACATTAGTATCAAGTGTGTAACATTCTCTAGAAATATTTTAATTTGTAATTAAAATCTTTACATTTATAAACATTTAAATAATAAATATATTTGTGTGATATTAACCCATTTACCCATTTGTTTTCATTTTGCTTCTCTAAAAAAAGTATAGCTCTAAAATTACTTCAGGAATTTTGTATTAAAGCTGCCTGGTGTTCACCCTTCTGAAAGGCAAAGGGAACGTGGGCAGGAGGCTGACAAAACTCGCAGTGGCTTCTGTTCATACAAGGATGTAGGTTACCAACGTCTACTTATGTTTAATTGGCCCAATCAAATCAAAGGGACAAATCTTAGTGGGGCAGGACAATATGCTAAATATATTTACACACCATACATACAAGATTTGTTCAGAAGCTATCCAGCCATGTAATATGAGACATTTATAAGACATTGCACACGGGACAATGATGCCTTGGTCCCCTTCAACGGAGACACCTTGGGACCTCACACAGTTCTCCCAATCACCATCAGCTGCCCTGTGGTATTTTCCTGAATCTCAATGACAGTTTGAAATTTCTTCCCTTTCAAAGAGGTGATTTTAATTTTGGAAAAAGCCCAAAGTCGCAGGGTGCCAAATCTGGGCTGTATGGGGACTGAGTCACCTGGGTGATTTGATGTTTCACAAAAAAACTCTGCACAAGACATGATGCATGAGCGGGCGCATTGTCATGATGAAGCCTGTAGCTGCAGGCTTCTGAGTCATACAAATAGTGTTCTTGGAGGAATGTTCGAACTTATTGCAAATTTGATGCAGATTTGTTGTTCTACCTGCATAGTCATTTTTAACGTGATGGCCACACAGTACAAATGCTGACCCAATGGCATCTACTGCCCCCATTGACTAGTGCAGTGAAGCTGTCATTGTTCATGCATGTGCATTCCAGTCTACTCTCCTTGGCTGACAGGTTACATTGATGTTGTGCAAACCAGTCTCATTAACAATGGCTGGACGTTTTCTGGACAGATCACATGCACACAATGCATAATTCTTGTCTGCATTAGGGATTCCAATCTATATCCTTAACCTATCACAATAGACATCAAATGTTATAAACTCCAAATATATTTTCATATAAAGTTTTGGTTGTCAAGTATCTTTTACAGTAAGCCCTGGCCTGTGTGGCTCAGTGGGTTGGAGGTAGCCCCATAACTGAGGGGTTGCTCCCAGTCAGGGCACAAGCCTGGGTTCTGGATTTGATCCCCAGTTCCAGCCTGTATGGGAGGCAACCAGTTGGTGTTTCTCTGTCTCCCACTCTCCCTTCCTCTTTCTAAAAGAAATGATCGAATGTCCGTGGGTGAAGACAGAATAATATATCCCTTATATATACCCACATATTTAAAATTTCCTGCTCTCCTTATTCTCTTATAGATTTGAATTTCTATAATTTCTAGCTTGAAGAGCTTTACTATTTCTTATAGTTTTAGTCTTTTGCCACAGCTTCCATTTATTAGAATGTTTTTAATTCACCTTCATATTTTTAAACTTTATAAATGCTGACAGAATTTCAGAAATTGTAGGAACAAATAGATACCCTATGTCCTTTAGCTAGAATCGCAAATTTTTAACATTTCATCACATCTGCTACGTCATTCTCCCTGTCTGTTTCTGATGTATATATAGATACATGTACTCCCGGAGAGTCTAATCATGCCCCGGAGTGCAATTTGTGAGGTCAGACTAGGAGTAAACAGTAGCCACTGTGCATATTTTTTCTCAAGAAGTTAGTTTTGTAGGTCTACTTTAATTTGTATGTTTTCAATTATTTTAAGAAGACTTAACAGCTGCAAACATTGATGGGAATAGAAGATAGAAATAAACTTTGCAGTGACAACTCATTCATAATTGAGGATAGCTGTGATTCATACAGAAGTTTTATGTTGTCCCATAAGTTGCCACAATAATTAAAAAAGAGCAGAATTGATTTTTATTTATTCATCCTTGATGCCATTCATCAGAGTATGAAATATTTTGTGATTAAATATAGCTTTTACCCAATATTCTATTCTGTGAACATAATTTTCAAACTTAGATGACTCAGTCTTGTTAATTTGTTCTAATAATTTAGTTTGTCCTTTAGTTGCCAACTATTTAATTAAACGTTTTGCTTAAAGGTAAAAAGATCCAAGTGTGCATTACTTTGGTCACTTATTTTAAGATGACATGATTATTTTTGTTACCCTTGCCACATGTTTTCTGTAATGACTCATCTTTATTTAAAACAGGAAAATGATTTATGACTGACAACAGTGGCATCTGCTGGCCACTCTCAACTCTTCCTCAGTAGGATAAAGAAAAAATGAAAATAACTTTTCCCCACAGTTTTCTAAAGAACAGGAGGAGCAACTGCTTGCAATGCAACAGGCGAACTGTGTTCGAGTTTGCCTTGACCCAAATGAAAACCCCGACATGCATCATATCAGTATCTATTTCACTGTCACACACACACACATACACACACACAGAGGTGGTCTTTTCACTGCTTCAATCTGAGAACATTCTCGACTATATAAAACCTCCCTTGGTCTCCAGGACTGAATAGAGCAGTTGTTCTAGTGCAGTAATTTGGGGGGGGGGGGGATAATCTTTATGCTATAAATAGAGGAAATGTGGATTAGGAGCAAGTGCTTGCAGACACCCGGCTTTTTAGACAAAACACTATTAAATTGTGTAATATTAAACTTTAGGTTTGTTTCCTCAGCTGCAAAATTGGAGATTTGGAAGAAAAACTTCTAAGATCTAAAAGTTTATATGTATAATTTGTGTCTGGTGCATTATTTTGCAGTTAGTATTTGTTATCTAAACAAAGCTATTCAGTGTTCAATATAAACAGTTCTTGGTGGGTGCAGATCACCGTTCTACTCTTTCCCAGTTTAACACCTACTGTTTCATAGTTGAGATGACCTGAGACCTGAGTTTTTTACGTGCTCTGAGATTTTCTAGATGCAGGCTTTCAATAATGAAACACACAACCTGAACCTCAACATGGTAAATGTTACAATGGATAGAATAAAAATTGCCCTGCTTACCTTCCTAAAATAAAATTAATGAGGTTAAGTGAATTATTGTTTATGAAAATGTTTTGATTAGTAGAAAGTGCCAGATTAGCTATGTTACCTTATTTTAAATATAGAAAATATCTTAGAAAACAACATAGGCAGAAGGAAGGTTTTGGGAGTCTAGACTCCAGCCTCATCACCTATGTAAGCTTTGTGACCTTGGAAAAATCATTTAATTTTTCTGAGAAGCAAAAACAAAAGTTCTTCACCACTGAAACAATGTACAAGAAATGTTAAAGGGCCTTCTTTATGAAGGAAAGAAAAGGCCATAAGGAGGAAAAAAATACAAGAAGCAAAAACAAATCTTACGGGTAAGGTCAAATATAGAACTAACACAATAAGGCAGCAACTTAAAAAGCTAAGATGAGGGTTAAAAAACACAAATAGCAAATTAACTATAACATAGTTATGGATAGGAAGAATTAACATCATTTAAATGTCCATACTACCCAAAGCAACCTATACAGTCCATGCAATTCCTATCAAGATACCAATGGTGTATTTAACATAACTAGAACAAATATTTCAAAATTTACAAGGAACCACAAAGGACCCTGAATAGCCAGAGCAATCAAACAGAATAGGGAGCCCAGAAATAAATCCATGCATTTATAATCAACTAATGGTTGACAAAAGAGACCTAAACATACAATAAGGTAAAGATAGTCTATTCAATAATTAGTTTCAGGAACATTGGACAGATATGTGCAATAAATTCAATGAAAAATAAATTATATATTGTTTATGGATGAATGCATACATAATAAAGTATAAAATCTTTCATGGGAAGTTATACACAAATTTAGATAGGGGTTCCTCCAAGGAAGTGAGGAAGAGGATTGAGCAATATTAGAAATTTCATCTGTATTAATAATGTTTTGTTTCATGAAAAACCCTGAAAAATCTTTTGTAACTATACCATATGGGTGTTAACATAGTGTAGTAACCATTTGGATATAAGTGTGTGTAAAGTCATTATGCAGTATGTTAAATGTATATAGAGATGCATGTCAATTATATTCCAATAAAATTAGAAAAATTGTTTAATTTTAAAAGCAACATATTATTTTTATTTAAGTGCAGACCAACAATGAGCTTGAAAGTGGTGGGAAGGTGATTTGAGACTGAAGCTTTCTGAAGACCTCATTTGGTATGGGGAGAAAATAGACAAAATATAGACTTAGTTATGTAGACATGTTTAAAATTTAAGGGCAAATACTGAAAGTCCTAACTTCTAAATTAAGATAGGAAAAATAGAGTAAACAAAACTTCATCAAGAGGGAAGGGGGAAAATAAAGAAAGCAAAGATAAAAACAAAATAGATGATAAAATTGA